TCAGCAGGGAGTCTGCTTCTCCCTCTGACCCTCCCCCCTCTCATGTGCTCTCTCTCTCTCTCTCAAATAAATAAATAAAATCTTTAAAAAAAAAATGTAATATAGAAATGCAAAGGGCTAAGAATAGCCAAGGCAGTCTTGAAGAGGAAGAAAAAAACCCTAGAGAGCTGCATTATCAGTTCTCAAGACTAATTAAAAGAGTGTGGTGTTAATACATGACAGAGAGACCGGTAGGACAAACTGGTCTGGAGACAAACCCATATATGCCATTGCCTGATTTATACCAAAGATGGCAACTCAAGGCAGTGGGGAAAGGATGATCTTCTAACTAAAGTATGCTATACAATTGTACCACCACATGGGAAAAAGGACTTTGTAACTTAGAACATTCACAAAACACAACTGCAGGTGGATTGTAAATCATAACAAGCCAGAGGTGAGCACTCAGGATCAGTTACAGGAGACGAGTAGGTATGGATGAAAGGAAGCCCATCGGTAAAGTACTAAAAAGTGAAAGAATGGCATGATAGAGGACAGCACATAAGATCTACATTTTACAGGATTTTGAATTGTGAAGGAAATTGTAGTGCAGGAATTGGGAACTAAGCATATTTAAAGTAGCATGGGAGGAGCCAAGAAAGAGATAGACGTTGAAATTAAATAAACAGGGATGTGTTTGATGAAGTAAAGCTAAAGGTCTCTGAGGAAACAGAACTGCAAAAAGGGGAATGAAAAGAAATTTTTGGTCCTGAATTAGTCTCATATAAGAAAAGAGCAGCATTCACTATTAATTATGTGTAAATGATATCTTTTATAGTATGTAACATTATTAATTTTTTTAGGTGGTTTGAGCCTTTTGTCATGCAGTGGCTGGATGAAAATGAAGATGTATCAATGGAGTTCCTTCATGGAGCACTAGGAAGAGACAAAAAAGATGGAGTGAGTTTAAATTACTTTAAGACTGCTTATTGGCAAGATTCATTCACACTACTCACTTTTAAGATAATGGGAATAGTTAGGCTCATTGTTATTAATTAAGGTTTATTTTAATCCTCTAATGACCAAAATAAATGTAAAACACAACTTTGAAGGAGTGATAGGAACCTTAGGGAATTGTTTAAATTTAAAAAAAAAAAAAGTCACCCTTTTGCTCCAAGATTCCTTTACCTCTTGAATTGGTCAGAGTCTACAAGTTCAGTAGGGTTATACAAAACTTCCTTGTCCTGTAACCTTCCCAGGATTTCAAGATTGGGAGCAGACACCCTCAAGATCTCTCTGGAACAACTTAAAAGTGTTGAGCTACAATATCTTTCTAAACCATCCTCATATCTATGGGGAATGAGAAATAAAAAGAACCAGTCCATCAATGTAGCAATGGAAATACCAATTTATAGCAGCCTGCCCGCCTGATATGAGTTCTAATACATTTTCCAGAAAAGGACATGAATGATTTTGAAACGGGTAAACATTTTATTAAATGGGAAAAGAAGGCATGTGAAATGAAGGTACATGATATAGGAGATCGAGTTATTTATGTGGAATGACTCTCCTCTCTCCACACTCCCTCTAACGTGCTTATTGGGTTGGTTTCGCCTTCTCTCCCTTCAGTTCCAGCAGACATCTGATCATGCCCTCTTCTCTTGTTCCGTGGTTGATGTCTTCGCTCAGCTTAATCAGAGCTTTGAGATTATTAAGAAACTGGAATGCCCTAATCCTGAAGCATTATCTCACTTAATGAGAAGATTTGCGAAGGTAGGTTAGAAGGAATGAGTGCTTTCTTTTCTGGGATTGTGGCATGTTATTATTTTCTTGCACAGAACCTGACGGATGTTGCTGTTTGTCTTCTCTGACACCAGTACCCCAATTTCATTTCTGATTCTAGTACCAATAGATTTGGTTTCCAGGTTTGTCATCTGACTTTCTTTCTGCCCTTCTTGTTTCTTAAAATGGATTTATCATTCTTTACAAATCTATTTGTCATCCACATTAGTGACTCAGTCATTGATAGCTGAAGAGACTTGCTAAGAGTGGCAAAATTATTTATTTCATATATTGTGCTTTTTAGCTGAAAGTAAGCCTTGGCAATTCATATTTAAATTGTGAGTATTCTTAACACACAGTGTACTACAACAAAAGTATATTAGACTTGGAGTCATGAAAACAGAGTTCTGATTTCAAATCAGCCAATAACTACAGTATGAGTCTGAACAGTTCATTTTTTTTTTTAAAGATTTTATTTGTTATTTATTTGTCAGAGAGAGAGAGCACACAAGCACAAGCAGGGGGAGTAGCAGGCAGAGGGAGAAGCAGGCTTCCCACTGAGCAGGGAGCCAATGTGGGACTCGGACCATGACCTGAGCCAAAGGCAGATGTCCACCCAACTGAGCCACCCAGGCATCCCCAGTTCATTTTGTTTTTATAAAATGTAGTTTAGTTGACAGACTGTGATTAACTGGATTACATAAGATTAGGATCTCTTCCTCCTCTAAGAGTTTAAGAAGGCGTGCAAAGTACTTACTAGTTTACCAAAAGTTTCAAGGGAAATAGAAGAAATAAAAGATGTAGCCCCTGCCCTCCAGATCTTAAAAAAAGTTCCCCATAATAATCAAGGCCATGTGACATGAACTAGTGTATTAATTTTCTAGGGCTGCCATGGTTAAATATCACAGGATGGTGGCTTAAAAAGTATAAAAATATTTTTTTGCAGTTCTGGAGGCTAGAGGTCTGAGATCCAGGTATCAGCAGATTTGGTTTCTCCTCAGGCTTCTCTCCTTGGCTTAGGGATAGCAGCCTTATTACTGGATTTTCACATAGTTCTTCCTCTGTACATGTACATGTTCCCTTGGTGTTGCTCTGCATGCCCCAATTGGCTTTTCTTATAAAGACAGTAGTTAGTTTCCTCAGGTAGGCACTTCAGGGGGATCTGAGATCATTCCAGGGAGGAAGCCCTGAACTGTTAGAAGCTGTTACTGTTTTGCTCAAGTCTTTTTAATTTTTTCTAAAGATATATTTATTTATTTGAGAGAGAGAGAACACAAGCAGGGGAGAGGGAGAAAGAGAAGCAGACCCCCTGCTGAGCAGGGAGCCTGATGTGGGGTTCAGTCCCAGGACCCTGGGATCATGACCTGAGCCAAAGGCAGAGGCTTAACCAACTGAGCCACCCCAGTTTTGTTCAAGTCTTGATAGGTCAAGGTTAAGGCCTTGTTGAGAAGAGGCCTGGGAGTAGCCTGGCCAGAGTTTGGTCAAGGAGAGAGTCTTTGTCACCTTCCACCTTTCTGTGACTCGGGTTCTCTCCTGAGAGATTCCAAAGAAGAGAGAGCATAGGATTAGTAGAGAGCTGATGGAATTATAGTTGGACAGTTAGGTCCTCCTTGTAAGGAGTCTTGAAGAACAGGCAAAGTGGCCAAACATCTTTAGTAGAAAATGAGGAGCCATAATTTAAAAAAATCAAAAGGCTGAAAAAGAAAATGAGGAGCCAATGAAGGCTTTTAGGTACATAAACCATCAGCCTAAACCGTATTATGTTATTTGTTTACCATCAAGTAACCATCAAGTATTGTTAACCTTTGAACTCTAGTCTTTATATGTTAATTAGGAAGATAAAAGTAACCTCCCACTTTTAAAGATAATAGCTAAAATCACTTATTTTGATCATCTCCAGAGGGGACTTTCTTGGTAGCATCTGATTTCAACTTCCCCAGTGTGGTGAAACCTGCAAGTAAGCTCTGCAGGAGGAGAATTCTAAAAAAAAATCTGAAAGTTAAGTCTTTTCTTGACAAGCAGCTGCATTTTGGGTGACTGCCAAGAGAAGAATGAAATGGGATCATTAGGGATACTGTTGAAAAAAGTGTGTCACATGCTATTCTTGGAACTCTGTGGGACTAGTGGGAGCGGGGTCCTATGGAGAATTTAATAATCTCAGAGTTAATATATTTAGTAACATACTATTATAATGGTGCACGATATTAGAAAGGTAACTAGAATTCACCCTCAGAGTAGTCAGGGAGCAGGTTATGTAAGGTGGAGGCATGGAAGCACAGAGAGAGCAGGAGGAAAGGGGCACCAGGGCTCAAGACAAAGCTGGGCTCCAGACCACCCTCCCCTCCTTGGTACTTTTGACCTTTCTGCATCTGTGAAGCTGCACCCAGCCACGTTCAGACTGCAAGTGGGCTGGAGAAAAGTGTAATATGTTAGAATCTGCACAGGAAAATGCATTCTTTGAAGCGAGGAGAGAAGAATTAGGCTCCATGTGCCACTGAGGAAATGTGAGCTTTTATTGGCACAATATAATTTTTTTTAAATACCTAAAATATTCTTAATCCATGTAAATTCAAAACTACCCAATTATTATTGCAAGGAAATAATGTAAGAAAAAAACCTCATTTTCTGGGAAAGCAGAAATTGGTAATTTTCATTGAAAGATAATTCTATTTTGTTGTAATGATTTTAAGAAATCAAATAGGACTTTGTGGTTGATATAATTAGCTATTTCACAGTAACGTCAGACTGTTAGAATTTGTTTTGTTTCATCAGATGGGACTATTGGTCTTGAAAACTGTATCCTTCTTGGAATAGGGATCCTTGTATCAGAATATTGAAATCATATTCTCTTCCTGGGACTTACATTGATTTAAACCATCTCTCAGAGAAAAGACATAATTAATGATATCTGAAAACATTTGGGAAGATTTGGCATTGTAAAGTGGGACTTGAAGGGATGATTTGTTCTTACTAAGGCATATATAAGACTCAGTATACTAAACAAATGTTTCACATTTCATAGCTGTGATGAGAGGTGAAGTGTACACATAGGTCGTGGATAGTTCTATGGCTTTACTGCTGCTCTTGACAAGAATGGGTAGTTTAATGAAAGAAGAGCAATATGAAATAACGGTATCTTCATTATTAAAAACAAACCAACAAGTATTAATTGAGTCCTGGCCACAAATCTGGCTGTTTTTTTAACTGAGTGTCCAGGGACTGGAGATACAATGGTGAATGAGACACTCGTATTTCTTGTTCTTTGGGAACATAATCCTAATTTTCAAAAGTACTGACGATAATTATTTGAACATTGCTATGTGCTAATCACTTCACGTATACTGTCTCACTTATTCTTCGCTATAACCCCATGACATGATTTCTCCTAATTATTCAAATGACGAAACAAGCTTAGAAAGTTTAGATAACTCAAACAAGGCACCCAACTAGAAATGGCATGGGTGAAATGCTTTTAAGCCATACTACCTTCACAGTCTGGTGTCATCACAAACCAATTGGTAAGTCAGAGAGCAGAACCTCAACATTTATTTTTACCCTCTGGGCCAAACGTAGGCAGCTCGGGGGGATTCTTTCTTATGCTGCATGTGTTAAAATGCAGTGCTAGAAAGCACTGAAGTGACTTTCTAATGTCACTTAACAGATACTACTCTTCTTGTCTTCCATGCATTGCTCTAATACTAAATGTCCCATGAATACAGTGGGGCTAAAAAGATGGATTTTGAACCAGGGTTCTTATCTTACTGATTGCAAGAGTCATATCCTAGACGGACCTACTGGTGGTGTTGACAAGATTTCTAATTCTAATAGCACAGCATTAGCTCAGGAGATCATACTGAGTAACTGATAGCTGTCCCACTCAGTAACACTAGTAGCCACAGTCTAATGAGAGCAGATTGAGGATGGGAGATATTTTTGTCATCCTGCTTGATCTTTTAAATGCAGAGAATCTCTGGCTTCACCACCATAATCCTATTTGAATTTCATTGTATTTAATCTGGAGCTCTTTGAATGGCAGTTTCTTTGCTGCATCCATAAAAGAATCATCTATACTTCATGACTCTCTTTTCATATAAACTATACTTTATTATAGAACATGATGCAAACAGCTTCTGTTACGCTCTTGCCTCTCTCTCTGTGCTGTCCCCATTTCTGAAGCCCAAGAGTCCCACAGAGAGAAATCATTAGCTAAATCCACACACTCAGAAGTTCTGTCTTCCAGGCTTTGCTAGGTACCCCTTCCATCAACAGATTCTCTCTGAAGAGTTAACCTCCACCCTGCTATGCATTCATTAGGGCTGTGGTTTTCAAACTTTAACTTGCATCAGATTTACTTTGGAGGCTTCTTAACACACACCAGAATTGCTGACTCAGTAGACCCATGTAGGACCAGAGAACTTGAACTTCCACAAGTTCCTAGGTGATGCTTATGAGGCAGCAGGAGATGTGTCTTAGGTCGGTATGTCTCAAGTAATTGTTTATTGGTATTAAAGAAATAATGTCTGATATGGTTTTACTTTGTTGAATAAATCAGAGTGAAATTGAAGTTGCCCCTAAAATGTACATGAGCACTGTCATTCAAGCATACTTTGTACATTAGTAAAGAAATGGATGTTCTCATAGCCAGTGTATCCACAACTCTTACGGGCACAAGGCCTTAAACCAGATCCTACATGGCTGAGCTCTTGGCCTTACCCATAGCTCATCCCGACTTCCTAACCATCGGCATTTGTAGGTTAGTGGTTGTGAGATGCTAGTATCAGTTAGTTGTCCCCAAGCGGGAATTCAGCAGACTAGGGTTTTCTTATAGAGTCAAGTGTTGGTCTGTGGGGGGATTACCTTGAGAATAATCAGAAATGAATGTCTGGATTCTCCTCTCGAAACTTTCTCTGGAGCAAGTTAGAATCTCTGAGTGACAACAGGCTCCTCAAGTCAGACTTTTCTTTGTTTTTGTTTTTACCACATAGTGAAAGGATTCTTAAGAGTTTACACTGTCATTAGAACCTGTAAGTTGAAAGCCGTGCTCATATGTACAAGTGAATTAGTACTTTTCAGGTAAGTCCCACAGTAATTTTCAGCATTATATCTGAAGCCAAATTTGAACAGCTGCATTTGGACGATACTTCAGTCTGATCAGCCATCTGTTTTCCTAGATTTATTGGTCTTCTGCTTGATAAGATTTTATATTTTCCAAGGCCAACTTTCTATCTAAACTGATGCATATTACCACGATACTTGGCACTTCCACAAAATATCAATTTTCTTTCTGCATTTTATCCCTACTTCTAGGTTTTCACTGTGATCTTAAATGGCTATAAAACAAGTTCATAGTTACATTTGGTGAATTCAGGTTTGTCGATTAAGAGGTTAAGCTAAAGGAGAGATGTTTAAAATGTCTCCTGAATTGATTTGAGACACAAAGAAAACTCAGATGAATATGTTTTACAAAAAAGGAAATAGAAGGTTTTTTGTCTTTGCTTTTCTGTGAAAAAGAGATAATCTTTACCTACAATTATTGTTGCTTTCTCTCTTCTAAGAAAATCATGTTCACATTTGGCTTGTGATAATTCAAGCTATGTAAGTAAAACTAGTAGGATACAAATACATCAATATATTTTTAAGTAATTGAAATAAAATTTAACTAACAAATGTGTTTGTTTTTCCTTATTTTGCATAATTAGTGGAACAGAGGGCATCCTTCAGGTCAGAAATAGTTATTAAATGGAGAAGGAAAATGTGGAATTAGGATGAAGCAGACAGAACAAAGGCAAAAATTAGACAGTGTTTTTAGAAAATAATGCACCAATAACTAATTTAGTAAATTAAAGGTAAATGTATTAGTGCAATACAACAAAAGTCTTCAGAGGTGGTCTTTGATATTAGTAAGGCTCCTTATCATAGAAAATTACTGAAAATATTCATTACTAAGGGACATGTACAGGAATGCTCTGACACCACTTATAATTGTATAAGGTATTTAGGAACATTGTAGAAGGTTGAGAAAATGACCACCACAGAGAATTTGGGCATGGTATATGTATGTGTGGTAAGGATGAGAGGGGTGTAGGAACTGGAAACCAAGAGGAAGGAGTCAAAGAAAAGTTTGATTGTTCGGGGAGGCGGTGGGCGGCGGGGAGAGCATTAGGGTCATTAGGTAGTAAGTATCCAAGCATAGAGGAGGTTGCTAACAAAATCATGTATCTTCTGAGTATTTAGTAAAGTTAGAAATAAAGAATTTTATGATGGAGCAGATTATGTTAAAATGGAATGAATTAATGAATTCATGTGGAATATCTTTCACATGTACTCAGAAATATTACAAATTGTCATCTAAGCAGAATAGTTTGAGATCCTTCTTTTGGCAAGGGTATAGATTTAATCACTGCATCTGGCCCTCTCTTAGCTGAAAAAGACATGAAAAGTTTGCCTGATTAGCATTAAGCTGGCTAATATGTGTATAACTGGATACATTTAACTGGATACATTTCGTGCTTTTCCTCTAGACTATCAATAAAGTACTGCTTCAGTATGCTGCAATTGTATCAAGTGACTTCAGTTCATATTGCGATAAGGAAAATGTGGTAAGTAAAACTGTTTCTGCTTTCAAGTATTCCTCAATTGAGATCCATTTTTTTTTTTTAAACGAGTGAGAAAGCAAGAGAATTTTTTTTTCTTTCTGTTTTCAAGGGTAATAGGGAATAGGGATCTCAAGAAATTGTTTGCATACTTCTCTAGGAATCCTGATCTGGCTACAGTACAGAAGTCAGAGGAAGGTTGAGAGCATCTCAGTGCCAGCCAACTTGTGGTTTTCCATGACGATAAGGAACAAGACTCACATAAACAATTAAAAACCCACATAATCATAAAACATTGAAGCTGAGAACTAGGAATTAAAAACTTGTTTATGTTGATACCTATAGCATAGTTTGGACACCAGTAGCAAAGTGAGTACAATTTATCTTTCAGTTTTCAAATTGAGAAAGATAGTTAGTGTAAGAAATGATGCTGGTTTCTACTCTAAATCATTAACTTAGCCTTTTATTTTTTGGATAATTAAGAAAATCTTTATAAAATTCAAACCAGCATTGCAACTTAATAAAAGGCACAAAGAGAAGCAAGATAAACTAAAGTGATTTGGAGTATAATTAGTCGTAGTCTATGGTGGAAGGTGAAATCTTTCCTATTCGCCAAATGTCATTTTAGGAGAAATACGTTGGGAATTTTTTTTAAACACTGAAAAAATATATTACAAAAGTTAGTACTAGATTTTTAAAGAGGAAAATCAGTTTTTTCCTTCTCAACAAATTAGTTCCCACTATCAGGCAAAAGAGAATTCTCGCTGAAACCTCATTGACCTCTTGCTGACAGCTCATTAATATAAGTCAGTCTTAATGGTTCTTGAGGGTCCCAGAAGATACTTCTTTCCCTTAAATTAATATGCTGCCCAGAAATTTTATTAAAATTCCCAGATATCTCAGCAGTGATTTCTAACTGCCATTGATTATACTCTAATAGGCAAGATAGAATATTTATTTACTCAAAGCATATATTTACAATTAAATTTATAATACATGTGAAAAATAATATGTTGAAAATCAAAACAGTGATAGATAATTTCAGGAAAAATTCTGATATATCAGGATAGCCAACTTGAAAATTTTAAAAAGGTAGCTATGAATTACCAGGGATAGTTCTTGTCATTCAGAAAAGAAAATCAACCTTAAAGACCCCCGCAGACTTTTTGCTATGAGTTAACATTCTATAGTTTATTTTTTAAAACACTGGAGAAACAAATCATAAATCAATGTTTATTATATTATTATTTGTATTTTTCCATATATTTTATACTTTTAAAATCAAGTATTTATAAAGAAAGAAAACACCCTTGCAAATATTACAGCACAGGAACTTTTCCTCTATGCTTTTCTTTTCTAGTTCCTGATATCTTAATGATATCATTCAAATGCCAAGCCTCATTTCAGCTTTTCCACGAAAGAATAACAACTGCTTAGGTTTATGCTTTCAGCTGAGATAAATTGAAGAAATTCTTTTGTACATTCGCGTGTGTACATATAACTATTTCTCTCAGTATCAAGAATATTAAGTTTGTTTTTCTCAGCATATTTATGGCCATATACCTATTATATCTGCAGATTGATCTATAAACTTTTAAAGAGAGAGCTATCCTTTAAGAGATGAGCATAACATTTGCTTTCCCACGGGTCAGAATTAAAGATGACAGTTAAAATGTCTGTGACAGAATAATTTTTTTCCTTGCTGTGATGTTTTACATTGAAAATGGATCGCAAGTTTTTTAATCCATTTTCTCATACTCCAAAATATAGCAATGAAACACAAATAAATCAGAATTACCCAATTTTGAATATTTTAAAAAATCTTTTTCAACTCAGAAACACACTTTGGTCATATAGAAATGGCCCTAGTCCCAACAGAACTTTCATATTCATTGTAGTTTAGGTTCCTAACTTTGTTCCAGATTTAGATCAGATGAAATGCATTATATTTTTAGGGGAAAAGCCAAATTACATATAAATAAAAAGATGATAACTTCAACATAGATTATTTTATCTAAACTCATCAACAAATGATACTTCTGAATTAGGTTAATGTTCCTCTTTACTGTGTGTGTTTTCTGTTTTGTTTTCAGTAACTAAAAAAAAAAAAAGCTGTTTTCAGATTAGGTTTAAGGTAGATTTGTGTAATTCAGTCCTCAGTAATGATTTGATAAATTCATTCAATAAAATTGATATTTCAACATTTCAAAGTCAGAGAAAGCTTAATGAAAGAGAAGAGTCTCATATTTTATTTTTCTCTCTCTCTGGATAACTGCATCTTTTTTTTTTTTTTTATATGTAGCCTTACCTGGGGTCAATAGCAATCCATGCCAAGTGAGCCTATAGTTCATTTTGTTTCTTGGTGGTTCTTTTCCATTGGAAATGGTCATATAAAAAATGCTTGGAGGTTGGTTTTTGTTTATACAGCTGGTACTAAAGTACTGTTATATGTGCCAAAAAAGATAAGCTTAATATCTAATAATCATAGAAGAGTCTACCTAGCTAACTTAGACCCTTGGGGAGCAGAGTGATACAACCTTTTACCCATGTATTCTTCCTGCTTCTCATTAAGAGTCATGGTCGGTCTTTGACCTTCATTTTCTCCCTGGTAAGATTGTCAAATTCAAGCCAAATCTTTCCCCTCTGCAATGAAAAAAGAAAGAAAGAGATAAAGAGAAAGAAAAAAGAAAATCCCAATGACCCTACCCCCTAGTGAGGGTTCACTTTGCCTTTGGGTCAAGATGCTGAATCCCTGAAAGTTTTGACCACACATACTGTGGAAAGGATAAGTCCAGATCAAGTGGCTCTCAGTCACAGCTGGGGATCAGAATCATTGGTGGAATATTGTGGTTCAGCTTGCTGAACAAAATCTATGGCATATAAATCTCAGATATCGGTGTTAGAGAAATAAAATATTTATGTGACCGGAATCAAAGGAAGGGAATCAAAGTTTAAAATTGTTTTCATAAATCGAAGTTAGGATGTGGTCACTTTAAGAATCAAGTAGAAAGTTTTTCAAAGGTCAGTAATGTGGTTGAAACAATAATAAAATCTTTCCACTGATGAGTGCTAACACCCTCTCTGATGTCCTGTAAGTCCTTTCTATGCCTAATTCATTATTGGCTCATTTCCCAGAAACTTGGAAGATATATCCATTTTCTTTTCTTTCACTGTTTTCCTCCCCCAAATCAACTGGCTTTTTGGATCAGAATGCAAGAAATATTAAATTATTCTATAACTATTCTCAATTCTATTTTCCAGTTATAAACTAATTCCTATTATTCTAAGTCCACATGTAGTCCTGTCACAAGGCTTTCCATCTTTGTGTTATTCTATTTCTGCCTCCTTGGAAACACTGAGTCAAAAAACATTTTTAAGCATGTATTCTATGGAAGGCTCTGTGCAGGACTCCAGGAGTAAGAAAAAGCAGAAGACATAGCAGCATGTACGGTGTATTTAAGGTCAGTGGGTGAGACAGTGAATAGCAATATAAATGTAAAGTTAAATAAAACAAATGTCAAGTGAGTGACAAGGATATAGTCTGGGAAAGAGAAAGCTCAAACCTGGAATGATGGTTATGATTCAAATAGGCAACGAGGTTCACGTGACAAGGCCACATGCCAAGCCAAGTCAGAGTTTAGAAAGCACAGGTGTTTTGGGAGGAATAAGCTGCTTAAAGGGGGGAAGTTACTCATAGTGCAGTAGACAGAGATGGGAAGGAAAAACTAGTTTGGAGCCAGATAACTAAGGGCCTTGAATACCAATGTGCGGACTTTATCTATAGCCAAAGAGAATCTATTAAAGGTGTCTTTTTTTTTTTTTTCTTTTTTCCCCCTTGGATTTTTAAAATTCAGATGGTGTTTGGTTTTTTAAATGGTGGAATAATGGAAAAGTTAAACTGTTAACTTTTTCTTAAAGTAAATCTTTAAAAACAGAATTTGGCTCAATGTTAATAATAAAAGAAATATTAGTAGTAAATCCCCAGTGGTTTATTGTCTGGGTATGTTATTGAATTGCATTCTCCAAAGTGGTAATATTTCCTCCTTCCATTCTTAACTTTTAAAAAGTATAATGAAAATAGCAGAATTATTCTATCTGCCAAATATAATAGGACTTCAGTGATAGTTGTATACTTATCACATTTAAGGTTAAACTCATTCAATAATTTATCGTATGAAGGATTCTCACACCACCTTTTCTTTTTGTTTTTTTGCTTTATTCGTAGCCCTGTATATTGATGAACAATATTCAGCAACTGCGGGTCCAGCTGGAAAAAATGTTTGAATCCATGGGAGGGAAAGAGGTGGGTATATTTTTATGCCTGCATTTGCCAAATATCTACTTAGAGATCATTAGCAGCATATCTCTTTGCTATGCAAAGTGTCAGTCAAGTTTTTTACATGGGTTAACTAAAGAACAGGAAATGATAATAATTTAAAATTCCATTAATAACTAAAGTGATCATTAACCACAACAGAAAAGTGTGAATGGGAGGAGGGAGGTGGTCAGTAGCCTTTTGTAGTGTGTATATAGAGATATAGTCAAATATACAAATATATACATATATGCTAATGATCTGTTAAGTTCTACAAACTCCAGATTTTTTTTCCCCACCATATTTTGCAATGTCAACTTGATATCAAAGTTTTTGTTCTGAAATGTGCTTTGTGGTGCTAGCGATTTTTGGTGTATTCGTGGTTTATTGTTCACATCTAAAAATCTCTGTCACAATGTGTTGCGTGCTGTGTCTGTAATGTGTCGTGTCTTTGTCCAACATCTTTGACTTGCAATTCCCCGAGCAGAAGAAGGAAGGAGAAAGATTCTTTTATGAGGTTTGTGATAGTAAGCATCTTATCCTTTACCTGGCTGTTTCCCCCAAACCTAAAGACCACTGCACTTCTTACTTATTCTCATTTGCTTGTTTGGATCAGGCAGACAGTGAAATATTAGCTGTGCACATGCCTCCTGCTATTGCCAAAGTCTTTCATGAACCACCAAGAGCGTCCAGGGGCTTGGGGACTGGAGTTGGTGCCAAGAGGGAAAGTCATGGGGCTGGCATTCTCCCAGCCCCACCCTTCCCTAAAACAACCCCAAGGGCAGCTAGAATGTAGAAATATTTCTGTTTAAGATTTCAGTTACAGTGTTCCTTATTGTGATAAGTGTACGAGATGTATGTGAAGCGAGGTTGGATTTCAACGCAAAGATCCCTCTTATTTCTAAATGTACAAGGCTGAAAATGCTTCTTTTAAGACTGGGCTTCTTCACATGTGGTGTTGCTGTTAACCCCAAGGAGACATTTGTACATTTCCCTCTCCTAAGAGAGCCTCAGTCCTTTGAAACTGAACTGGCTACTTAGTATCCTACAAACAAGAAGCCCTAGGAGATGTGTGTGAAGGTACAAAACTTCAAAAATGAACTTTCATGAGCTCTGCTTCTGCTGCAGTATCTGTCTATGTTGTATACAATAAGGCTGCATTCCCTATGGTGTGTTAGTGGTTTTTGCAATGTGAGGGCATGAGTCTCATTTTTGAATTTTTTGCTAAATTAGGTGAGCACAAACAATTGGGGATCATAGCTGGAGAGTCCCTTTTTAATTTTAGAGATGTTTCATATTCAGACTTTAAGTCCACTTACAGTTTGAAGAGCCGTGAAGAGATCACTGATTTCTTATGGGAAATTCTGTCTCCTTTTACTGAATTCTAAAGATTACAAATCATGGAAAGATAGAGTTATATTTAAAATGCCACATTTCCAGAAATTTCTCCTAATGCTACTTCTATTTCCTCACTATTCCATGGGTTGGACTCAAATGTGAGTAATATCCTGCTGAGCTGAATATTAACAAGACAAATCAGACCTGTCCTTAAAGGAAGGTATGTGGGCCAAGCCACTCACTAACCAAAAATGTTGTGGGGTAGCTTGTTCACCAAACAAGAATGGATTCTTTATCTCACATAAAATTGCTGGTTTGCAATGTGTGGGTTTCGCATTATAAATTTGGCTACAAATGTATAGCTAAATCATAGAACTCTTCTTACTGGAGAAAGTACTGAAGAAAGAAATACTGGTGTTGGTGCCTTCCAGCCTCATGACTCTTGCAAGGTCAGTTGCTAAATTCCTCATACATAATTTAAAGGGAGAATGCAATTCAATGACTGAAATGAATGTCCAGTTTCTAACAGTGTAATTTGTTAGGGGGACAGCATGGACCCTAACTCCTTTCTTTTCCTGCATTTAAATCTGATACACCCCTTCCCTCCCTCTCTTGATCATCTTTTGATGTTCTGTCTCCTTTCTACGCACAGTTTCTTTGATCTTATTACTTTCAACTTTCACCTCATCCTCTGTTACCAGAAAAAGCTTTCGGCAGGCCCAGTCAGGACTGGCATGGGGACCGATGAACTATCAGGAGAAAGCAAGCCCTAAACTTAAGTCTGGGTGTCACATTGAGCCTCCAAAGAGAAAGAACCGTGATTAACACAGACTTATGGTAGAGTTGCTAGTTGCTACCCTCGACCTCCTCTGGGCACCAGAATCTCAAAATAATAGGCTGAACCCCTTCCAGTCCAGTTACCCGTATATGGCAGTATCTACATGGGTTCCTTAATTGGGGCTTTTATAAAGACGGAAAAGGATTTTATTGAGAATGACAGAATTTACCCTTTGACATGAGAAGTTTATCCAGCACTTAATGCAGGCGTGCTCGGTGGCCTTGAGAGGGAACTCAGTGTGTCCTGATGCCAGTTCTTCTCTCACTGTGCAACTCGTTATAAAACCTTGACTGGTATTGTTGCGGGAAGCTTCCCTGTCTAGTTCTTCTCCTTTAAGGAGTTTCTTAGACTTTGTCCCCATCACCTGTTCTAGGATGTGCACTTCTTGCTACAGAAATCTAATTAGCAAATGATTAATTGCTTGTGTACTTGTTCAAAATAGTTTTGGATGCCATGTGTTTATTGGTTGGCTCCTAACAGCAGCATGGCTTGCCTCTCCTACCGTCTGCCAAGTGGCTGACCACTTGCAGGCCCGGTTGCATGATGCTGTAGCTCTCTGCCGCTTGAACCAATCGCTGTTGGGGCAGCTCTTCTCTCCTGATAGGATCAGCCTCTTTTCCTTCTGGAAACAGAAATAATGTTGAAAACCTTTTTTTTTTTTTTAGGTGGGGAAAAAAAAAACACACTCTTTCTGGAGTCCAAGTTGGCCTAACACTCTGATAGTCTAGGGCTGATGCTGTTTTTTGTCAGTGGCTCCATAAGCAGTCCTAACCAGACACTGTTACCACCTGCATGCACAATATCCTGGAGACCATGTGGGCACATTTTTCTTTTTTTATCTAGTGCCCTATTTAGAAAGAAAAGAGAAAAGCAAACCACTAAATTTCTTCTCCTATATCGTGACTTTCCCACACGCTTCCTTGTGTAAAAATGAAGAGCATGTGTTTGGCGTAACAACTCTGATTGCTGTGAAGAATGTGGAAAATATAATAACTCACATGAGCCAGGAAACAACATAACCTTCGAAATGAGGCCCAGAGTCTGTTTTTTTTTTTTTTTTTTAATATATATATAAAGCATCTCACATGATTTTTCACGTGCATATTGTTTTGGGACACACTACGCTAAACCAGATAAAGTAGCCAACCCACGGTATGGACTGACTTGTTCTAGAAGTTAAATTATGTGCACCACAATTGCCCTACTACATTATCGGTCCCTTTATGACACAGTAATGGCAAAATGATTGTCAGGATGCCAGGTAATCATTTTCATTATTGGTGAATGATCATTTTATCATTCTCAGATAGCTCAAATACCTCAAAAGTAAGACAGATATACTTTGGTTTACATTATTTTAATAGCTTATTAAACTCAGTATAACTTAGTATAATTCAGTGCAGAGCAATTGCAAATAAATATACACCCTGTATTCATTTTTTCATAAAAATAAATTGCTACAGCCTATGAAAAGGACTCCATTGCATTTCCTTGATCTGCAATCTAATTTGTATAAGTACATGAAAAAGAAAATCAGATAATCCAAAATTTAATTTCATTTCAGGAAGTCATAAGATATTGGTTATGAAGCTCTGTAGAACTTGTAGTAATTGATTTAGAAGAATTATGACCATGCTGTGTAAGCAGAAGAGGCATTACTCCTTCACAATATTGCATTGGTACAATCGTCCTGAATGGTAGAATCCATAATTATCCATAACCCTGCTAACTTCCTGACAGTACTTCAAATGCTAGAAGTTAGCCACCATTAAGACATTAGGGGAAATAGGGGCATCGTTTGCTTAGCTAAATTCTCTTATTCTGCTGGCCACAAAGCAAACACATTAGATACAGTGGTAATATTATTTTCATTGCTGTGTCTTAAAAATAATTGAATCTCTTGACACATTTCACTGTGGTAAACTTTCCTGAACAGGGCCATGGAATGTGGAGCATAACCCTACCTATCCTAAACACGTGTATATTTTCATGAGCAATTTATTCTTTTGTTTCAGAAAAGCATTGTCTATATCCTGTTTTATTTTTTTAACGTTGAATTCGAAAAGGTAGAAACTGCATCTGACCCAAAAGTGTATGCATGTAGCTGATTGAAATTCATTGTAAAACCTATTACCTGTAAGGACTTAGTCTTCAGCTAAGCAAATCCCCACCGGAGAGGACAGAAATTAACCCCTATCATATTTTTCTTAGCATTATCCTTTTAACTTTATACTTGCTGGCAACAGGGGATTGAAGAGCACTGCTTTCAAGGAAATAATACTTTATCCTGGTGGTTCTTGAACTTCAGTATGCATCAGAACTGCCTGGGTAGCTAATTAAAACACACATTGCTGAATTCCATCGCTAGACTTTTTGATTCTGTAGGTTGGGTGGGGCCTGATGATTTGCATTACTAACAAATTCTCAGCTGATGTGATCTACTGCTCAGGGGACCACATTTTGAGAATTACCGTTCTTTGCTTTTAGAACAGCAACCAGGTAATTAGGAAATGGCTCCAAATGCCCCTTTGTCTTTATCTGGGCAACACATTTGACTGATGTACTTAATGTTTTGAATCTTGAGGACAGAAAGGATTCCATGTGTTTGAATGGACCTTGAGACAGCATGCAGTCCTGCAAGCAAATGTACTGGGTTTTTTAAAGATTTTATTTATTTATTTGACAGAGAGAGACACAGCGAGAGAGGGAACACAAGCAGGGGGAGTGGGAGAGGGAGAAGCAGGCTTC